AAAAAAAAAAAAAAAAAAAAAAAAAAAAAAAAAAAAGTGATGACGTCATTTCCAATTTTCCAAATGTTGGTAAGAGCTGAGTTCCGTATTCATCAGACGGATTTAGAGAATTTTAGACACACTCTCGTCTCTCCCTCCTTTCCTCCTTTGTCTGTTTCTGGGGAGGATATCAGATCCGTTAGATTACATTACGTTAAGTTCGTGGGAAGACAATGCGATATTAAGCTTTCCATCGATGTCAATGCAGCAGGACCGCACCCTTTACGTAAAGGAATCCCTGACGCATGCTGTGCGGTCCTCCTGAGATCGCAAACCATAGCCGTCCATTTTAGACTTAAGGAAGCAGCAGTACTTTTGATTGGGCCAGTTGTAGAGGGCATACACCACACCCTTGCACTTGTGCTGCCTGCACATCTCCTGACATCCCTCTTCGCTTGCTGCTGCCGCATTCTTCTTGCAGTCTATTTTCTTGTACGTATGTGAATTCTGGTCGGTTCCTGGAAAGCAAGTGAAGATAGGTCTTTCACTGCCAACCTCCGTGGGGAACGCAAAGACCAAGAGCAGCAGCCCAATGACCAGGAGGACAGCAATCCCAATGGATGGCTTCATGGTTGATGTCCTGCTCTCCTCCTGGTCCTTCTCCCTTCTCCCTTCTCCCTTCTCCCTTCTCCCTTCTCCCTCCTTCCTTCTAACGCCTCCTGCCTCGTAGGAACACCAAAGTATGTGCACAGCTGCACCCTGCAATACGATCAGACAATGGCAAAATCAAACACATCAGGGCTGTACATTCCCTTTCAGAACGGAATAGCAGAAAGGCCAAGTGTCGCAGCTATAACCCATACTATACACAAACACACACACAGAAAAAAAAAGGGGAAAACACACACACAGAGAAAAAAGGGAAACACACACACAGAAAAAAAAAGGGGACAAAAAGAATAGCAACCATCCTGAGCTGTCTATGAAAGTACCACAAAGATGATGATGAAAAAAGGTGCCTTTCGTATGTGTGTGTGTGTGTGTGTGTGTGTGTGTGTGTGTGTGTGTGTGTGTGTGTGTGTGTGTGTGTGTGTGTGTGTGTGTGTGTGTGA